ACCATTCAGACAACACCTCGAAGACAAGGCCCAGACTGGGGGGTTTCTAATCCTACCTCTGGTATAAGGAAGCCACCTTTGATCCTGGGGCCTAGAGGCATGGTCATGTTCCAGATGACCAAACAGGAAGGTGGGAGGTCAGCGTCCAACTTGTTGAAGGCTATCTCCAAATTTCTGCGGTATTCCATCATGGAAGACGGGCCATATCTGCTCAGGGAGAGAAAACAAACAAACAGACAAACAAACCAGGATCTGCTGAGCACCAAGGGACTCAAACCTTTATAAATAAGCTTTGCTCTATAAAGTACAGCTCTATAAAGGCTTAGTAAGGCCAAACTTGGAATACTGGCATCCAGTTTTGATGGCCACGATATAAAAAAAGATGTTGAAATTCTGGAAAGAGTGAAGAGAAGAGCAACAAAAGAGGATAAAACGTATGAAGAACAGTGGCAGGAATTGGGTATGTCTAGTTTAATGACAAGAAGGACCAGGAGTGACAGGATAGCAGTCTTCCAATATTTGAGGGGCTGCCTCAAAGAATAGTGGGGTCAACCTATTATCCAAAGCACCAGAAAGCAGGAGAAGAAGCAACGGATGGAAACTAATCAAGGAGAGAACCAGTCTGGAACTAAGGAGGAATTTCCTAACAGTGAGAAACAATTAACCAGTGGAACTGCTTGCCACCAGGAGTTGTGGATGCTCCATCACTGGACGATTTCAAGAAGGACCTAGACAGTCACTTCTCTGAAGTGGTAGAGGGTCTTCTGTCTTAGCAGCAGGTTAGATTAGATGACCTCCAAGGTCCCTTCCAACTCTTGCATTAAAATCCCTAGTTGATCCCTACAGCAGGAGTTTCCAATCTTGGCAACTTTACAAGCTGTGGACTTCAATTCCCAGAATGCCTCCTCCTTAACCAAGATGAGGAATTCTGGGAGCGGAAGTCTCCAAGGCTGGCTGAGGAATTCTGGGAGTGGAAGTCCACAAGGCTGGCTAAGGAATTCTGGGAGCAGAAATCCACAAGGCTGGTTGAGGAATTCTGGGAGCTGAAGTCCACAAGGCTGGCTGAGGAATTCTGGGAGCTGAAGTCCACAAGGCTGGTTGAGGAATTCTGGTGGCAGAAGTGCCCAAGGCCGGCTGAGGAATTCTGGGAGCGGAAGTCCACAAGGCCAGCTGAGGAATTCTGGGAGCGGAAGTCCACAAGGCTGGCTGAGGAATTCTGGGAGCGGAAGCCCATGAGTCATAAAGCTGCCAAGGTTGGAGATTCCTGGGATTTAAGGCCTTTGCACCCCCAGGAGCCCTCTGAAGATCATCAAATGACCTTGACACCTAACACAACAGACAATACGCTACCTGGAAACATCCCAAACGCAAGAATTGAGGATCAAAACATCTGGCTGTGGGCCAACCCGGAAATCTTTCAGGATGCTTTCAAAATATTCCGAGTAGATCCGCGTCAGGAAGTAGAAGCGGACGAGGTGATAACGGGTGCGATATTGGCGCACTTCCCGATAACGGATTCCGTTGTGTAGGCCATCCAGAACACCACCTTCAATTAATTGGTCGTTTTCAAAACTGAATTCCCCCTGGAAAGAGAGAGAGAGAGAGAGAATGAAAGAGAGAGAATGAGAGAGAGAGAGAGAGAGAATGAAAGAGAGAATGAAAGAGAGAGAATGAAAGAGAGAGAGAATGAAAGAAAATGAGAGAGAATGAAAGAGAATGAGAGAGAATGAAAGAGAATGAAAGAGAGAGAATGAGAGAGAATGAGAGAGAATGAGAGAGAGAGAGAATGAAAGAGAGAGAGAATGAGAGAGAGAATGAAAGAGAGAGAGAGAATGAAAGAGAGAGAATGAAAGAGAGAAAATGAAAGAGAG